TCACCATATCATAATCGCTGGAGTCGTCAAGGGATAACGTAGAGTAGGCAATTTGGGCCTTCCCAGTCAAGACTGACTGTATCATGATGGCCCAATTCTCCCTTGGCCACTCCAAAGAGGCAGCGACTTTCTCGAAGGCTGCAAAGAATTTTGACACCTCCTTCTCATGGAATTTGGGGACCATTTTGATGTTGCGTACCGGATCGAAGCTACTGGTGTCCGTTGTTTGCCTCCGACCACCGCCTAATCGCAAAACTTCTAGTTCATGTTGTCTCTCTCTTTCCTCTTTGTCTCGTTCTCGTTCTTCTCTCTCTCGTCTCTCTTCTCTTTCTCGTTCTTCTCTTTCTCGTCTCTCTTCTCTTTCTCGTTCTTCTCTCTCTCGTTCTTCTCTTTCTCGTTCTCGTTCTTCTCTTTCTCGTCTCTCTTCTCTTTCTCGTTCTTCTCTCTCTCGTTCTCGTTCTTCTCTTTCTCGTTTCTCTTCTCTTTCTCGTTCTTTTCTTTCTTCTCTTTCTCTCTCTTCTCTCTCTCGTTTCTCTTCTCTTTCTAATTCTAAACGCCTCATCGCCAATTCTTTTTCTTTCATCTCCATTTCTTTATCTTTTAATTCCCGTTCTAATTCTAACTTCTTCCACTATCTCACGATTGATCTCTAGGGCACGCATTTTGACGGTTAGGAAGCTGATATTAAGCTCACCTGCATCACTGTCAATGTCACTGCCCTTATCTTCCTTTTCCGTGGAAGCTATTTCCTCACCTTCCCTTGTACTAGGAGTCTCGCTTCCCTGTTTCTCTTCTGCCTTCAGGTGCCGGTGAACCTTGGACAATATCTCCACACGGGAATCACTGGCACGGATCTTGATCTCCAGGTAGGCGCTCACTAGTACAAGTTCCGGTTTGCTCAGATATTTTAATCTGGCAAGACAATCTTCTCTGTTCAGAAAAGCCTGAACCTCGTCCAGATCGTCAATGGTAGCTTTGTCTGCCATTGTCACAGGTGGAACACTTAACGAGCACTTAACACACCGAGCACTGTTCTACGTCAATATTGCACTTTATCGCACCAAACACTGCACTTGCCAATATTGCACGTAATCACTTCGGGCACCGCACTACCCAATATTGCACTGAGTCCAAGTGAACACTTCGCTCTACAATATTGCACTGAGTCCAAGCGAACACTTCGCTCTACAATATTACACTAAATCACTGAGCACCGCACTAGGCAATATTGCACTTAATCGCTTAATCACAGCGAGCACCGCACTGCACAATATCGCGCTTAGTCACTCTGAGCACCGCACAGGACGTATAACGTCACAATCGTCACACAGGGGGAATTATATACAGGGATTACGCCACTTCACCACCCCTGTCAAACATACTTAACAAGGGGACGGATCCCGCTGGGGATGCCAATTATGTTACGGCCCTCTCGGGACGCAACGGGGTTCTCACTCTGATGTTAGAGGAAGATATATGTATCCGTTCCCAAGCCAGTAGTGGCTATCAAGGGATGAGATCCGTGACGCAAGTAACTTAAAGGGAGTAGGGAAAGAAAGTTAAGAACTTAATATTATAATTATTACCACCACCTATTAAATATATAAAAATCAAACGTGCACAGGGGGAGGGTATGAACACTTAACAAGGGGATTAATTCTTCATCGTGGTCTTCTGCAGAAGACGCTGGTGCCACACCACTTGGTGCTGAGTCCGCGGTGCTTTCTTCGTGGCCTCAAGACGTGTCCTCTGAGAACGCCGAGCCTACCCTGGCCACAGGTCAGCCACAACACAGGTCCACTGGGGGCACCATCGTGGAGGCCGTCAACCACACGTCCAGCAGGTCTGCTGGCAGGTACTGAGCCACCAAGGCTGGTACGGCCACTCCACGAACGATAAAAGGGGTACGCCCTAGACAGGAGTCTCGTGTGATATCACCAATCACCCTCCTGTCCTCAATACCCCAGTGGATTATCGTCTCCAACCGTCGGTCCCGGGTAAATCCTTCCACTGCCACTCCACTGGCAGGCTTAACACACCACAGTGTTCTTCCGGGGGGACGACGTCACAACAGCTGCAGCAAACTTTACAGTATGGAGACTGGCTGCCTCGGGTAGACTGACTTCACCTTCAACACAGTGGTCCCAGGTCGGCTCTGTAAGCAGACACGTCATCAATAACTGGGACACTAATACACCACACTCACAGGCTCAGATACTAACACCTGACGTATCCAGCCCATAGATGGCGCTGTCGTCGGAGCACCACCTCACCAGAGGTCAGGAGCGGCGGTGTTGAGCGCTGAACCAGACTGGAAACTGGTCCTCGAGGCCAGTACACGCTGTCCTCACTAGGTGTCGTCGTTCGTTTGGCGGGGGTTTCGGGAGCTGACCCACAGATGGCGTGTTTGTCACTGCTCCAGGCTCGGACGCTGAATCCGGGTCCGTAACATAGACAACCACACTATCGCTAGTGTAGACAACCACACTATCGCTAGTGTAGACAACCACACTATCGCTAGTGTAGACAACCACATTATCGCTAGTGTAGACAACCACACTATCTCTAGTGTAGACAACCACACTATCGCTAGTGTAGACAACCACACTATCGCTAGTGTAGACTACCACACTATCGCTAGTGTAGACAACCACATTATCGCTAGTGTAGACAACCACACTATCTCTAGTGTAGACAACCACACTATCGCTAGTGTAGACAATCACACTATGGCTAGTGTAGACAACCACACTATCGCTAGTGTAGACAACCACACAATTGCTAGTGTAGCCAACCACACTATCGCTAGTGTAGACAACCACACTATCGCTAGTGTAGACAACCACACTATCGCTAGTGTAGCCAACCACACTATCGCTAGTGTAGACAACCACACTATCGCTAGTGTAGACAACCACACTATCGCTAGTGTAGACAACCACACTATCGCTAGTGTAGACAACCACACTATCGCTAGTGTAGACAACCACACTATCGCTAGTGTAGACAACCACACTATCGCTAGTGTAGACAACCACACTATCGCTAGTGCAGACAACCAAATCCATCATTAGAACCCCTAATTGATGCAAAGTACTATGTAAAATTTCTCCTTTACGACTGAAGAAATATACATATATATTTAATATATATATTAACAATATAATCAATATTATATAAAGTACAGATGAACCTGATCACTTATAAAACAAAATCCAAATACTGTCTCTCCCTGAATATATATCCACTACGACAAAACATAGAATGTCAGACTTATCTCCCACATATGTTATCTCTCCTGGTCCTTGAAAGCTACTGACTTACTAAGCGACAGGACTATAAATCATTGCATCTGCCCCGCGAAAAATTGCCAAAGTTACAAGTATTAAAATAAAACAAACAAAGAGAAATGTTGGCTCCCCCACCAGCAACTTATTCTCCCACGAACAACTTGCCGATTAATGTTCAAACAATTATAAATCACCTACTGTTACCCACTTATGATCATTACAAATCATTACTTCCCACGGGAAACCCGAGCACACAAAGACAAAAAACAAATCATCCCACGGTACGTTGGGCCTAACTCCAAACATACAATGAAATATATAAGCACACAATTTGTATACAATTATCAATGTACATATATATTGCATATAAAAATGTACATACACGTAAGCATATATCAGTACAAATTAATTTATTTATTTACGTATCTTAGAGGTGCGTAACACAGACAATCACTAGTACAGACAGCAATCACTAGGGCAGCCATCAATACCTAATGCAAACAAGAATCATTACAGCAGCCAACAATCACTAGTGCAGCCAACAATCACTAGTACAGACAACAATTGCTAGTGCAGACAACAATCACTAGTGCAGACAATAGGTAGTGCAGACAACAATCACTAGTGCAGACAACAATCACTGGTGCAGACATCAATAGGTAGTGTAGAAAACAATAACTAGTGCAGACAAAAATAGGTAGTGCAGACAGCAATTGCTAGTGCAGACAACAATAGGTAGTGCAGACAACAATCACTAGTGCAGACAACAAACACTAGTGCAGACAACAATAGCTAGTGCAGCAATCAATACCTAATGCAAACAACAATCACTGGTGTAGACAACAATCATTAGAGCAAACAACAATCACTAGGGCAGGCAACAATCACCAGTGCAGGCAACAAACGCTTGTGCAGACAACAATCACCAGTGCAGGCAACAATCACCAGTGCAGGCAACAATCACTAGTGCAGGCAACAATAGCTAGTGCAGACAACAATCACTAGTGCAGACAACAATCACTAGTGCAGACAACAATCACTAGTGCAGACAACAATCACTAGTGCAGACAACAGTAGCTAGTGCAGACAACAGTAGCTAGTGCAGACAACAATCACTAGTGCAGACAACAATCACTAGTGCAGACAACAATCACTAGTGCAGACAACAATCACTAGTGCAGACAACAGTAGCTAGTGCAGACAACAGTAGCTAGTGCAGACAACAATCACTAGTGCAGACAACAATCACTAGTGCATACAACAGTAGCTAGTGCAGACAATAGTAGCTAGTGCAGACAACAATCACTAGTGCATACAACAGTAGCTAGTGCAGACAACAGTAGCTAGTGCAGACAACAATCACTAGTGCAGACAACAATCACTAGTGCAGACAACAATCACTAGTGCAGACAACAATCACTAGTGCATACAACAGTAGCTAGTGCAGACAACAGTAGCTAGTGCAGACAACAATCACTAGTGCAGACAACAATCACTAGTGCAGACAACAATCACTAGTGTATACAACAGTAGCTAGTGCAGACCAGAGTCACTTGGTCGGACATCAACAACTATCTCACTCATTGTCAGACAGATCTTCAGTAATATTAACATAAAACAATATTGTTACTTGATATTAAATATATAATATATATACATCGTTGAGTGAGAGTGCCTGAAGAACTGATCAGTGTACCGTTGTGGGGGCAGGTAGCGAGGATCGGCCAACATAACGACTGCTTCCTCGCCTCAGACACTGATAGAGGCACGTACCGTAAGAAGACGGACGAGTACCCATACCTGAAGAAGGAAACACTTTACCTCTCCATGGGTGGTGAGACTTGCGCGAAAAACCCCCGCAGGTTAGTGTATGATCAGTAACCACTGCTGCCTCAAACATGTCCCCAGGTCAGTCCTGTTGATGATCAGTAACCACTGCTGCCTCAAACATGTCCCCAGGTCAGTCCTGTTGATGATCAGTAACCACTGCTGCCCCAAACATGTCCCCAGGTCAGTCCTGTTGATGATCAGTAACCACTGCTGCCCCAAACATGTCCCCAGGTCAGTCCTGTTGATGATCAGTAACCACTGCTGCCCCAAACATGTCCCCAGGTCAGTCCTGTTGATGATCAGTAACCACTGCTGCCCCAAACATGTCCCCAGGTCAGTCCTGTTGATGATCAGTAACAACTGCTCATCACATCACACTGACCTACTTGCTCATCACATAACACACTGACCTACCTGCTCATCACATAACACACTGACCTACCTGCTCATCACATAACACACTGACCTACCTGCTCATCACATAACACACTGACCTACTTGCTCATCACATAACACACTGACCTACTTGCTCATCACATAACACACTGACCTTCCAACTCATCACATCACACACTGACCTACCTGCTCATCACATAACACACTGACCTACCTGCTAATCTCACAACACACTGACCTACTTGCTCATCACATAACACACTGACCTACCTGCTCATCACATAACACACTGACCTACCTAGTCATAACATAACACACTGACCTACTTGCTCATCACATAACACACTGACCTACCTGCTAATCTCATAACACACTGACCTACCTGCTCATCGCATAACACACTGACCTACCTGCTCATCACATAACACACTGACCTACCTGCTAATCTCATAACACACTGACGTACTTGCTCATCACATAACACACTGACCTACTTGCTCATCACATAACACACTGACCTACCTGCTAATCTCATAACACACTGACCTACCTAGTCATCACATAACACACTGACCTACCTGCTAATCTCATAACACACTGACGTACTTGCTCATCACATAACACACTGACCTACTTGCTCATCACATAACACACTGACCTACCTGCTAATCTCATAACACACTGACCTACCTAGTCATAACATAACACACTAACCTACTTGCTCATCACATAACACACTGACCTTCCTACTCATCACATCACACACTGCCCTACCTGCTCATCACATAACACACTGACCTACCTGCAAATCTCATAACATACTGACCTACTTGCTCATCACATAACACACTGACCTACTTGCTCATCACATAACACACTGACCTACCTGCTCATCACATAACACACTGACCTACCTGCTCATCACATAACACACTGACCTACCTTCTCATCACATAACACACTGACCTACCTGCTCATCACATAACACACTGACCTACCTGCTCATCACATAACACACTGACCTACTTGCTCATCACATAACACACTGACCTTCCTACTCATCACATTACACACTGACCTACCTGCTCATCTCATAACACACTGACCTACCTGCTAATCTCATAACACACTGACCTACCTAGTCATCACATAACACACTGACCTACCTGCTAATCTCATAACACACTGACCTACCTAGTCATCACATAACACACTGACCTACCTGCTAATCTCATAACACACTGACGTACTTGCTCATCACGTAACACACTGACCTACTTGCTCATCACATAACACACTGACCTACCTGCTCATCACATAACACACTGACCTACTTGCTCATCACATAACACACTGACCTACTTGCTCATCACATAACACACTGACCTTCCAACTCATCACATCACACACTGACCTACCTGCTCATCACATAACACACTGACCTACTTGCTCATCACATAACACACTGACCTACCTGCTCATCACATAACACACTGACCTACATGCTCATCACATAACACACTGACCTACCTGCTCATCAAATAACACACTGACCTACCTGCTCATCACATAACACACTGACCTACATGCTCATCACATAACACACTGACCTACCTGCTCATCACATAACACACTGACCTACCTGCTCATCACATAACACACTGACCTACCTGCTCATCACATAACACACTGACCTACCTGCTCATCACATAACACACTGACCTACCTGCTCATCACATAACACACTGACCTACCTGCTCATCACATAACACACTGACCTACCTGCTCATCACATAACACACTGACCTACCTGCTCATCACATAACACACTGACCTACTTGCTCATCACATAACACACTGACCTACCTGCTAATCTCATAACACACTGACCTACCTGCTCATCACATAACACACTGACCTACCTGCTCATCACATAACACACTGACCTACCTGCTCATCACATAACACTGACCTACCTGCTCATCACATAACACACTGACCTACCTGCTCATCACATAACACACTGACCTACCTGCTCGTCACATAACACACTGACCTACTTGCTCATCACATAACACACTGACCTTCCTACTCATCACATCACACACTGCCCTACCTGCTCATCACATAACACACTGACCTACCTGCAAATCTCATAACATACTGACCTACTTGCTCATCACATAACACACTGACCTACTTGCTCATCACATAACACACTGACCTACCTGCTCATCACATAACACACTGACCTACCTACTCATCACATAACACACTGACCTACCTGCTCATCACATAACACACTGACCTACCTGCTCATCACATAACACACTGACCTACCTGCTCATCACATAACACACTGACCTACTTGCTCATCACATAACACACTGACCTTCCTACTCATCACATCACACACTGACCTACCTGCTCATCTCATAACACACTGACCTACCTGCTAATCTCATAACACACTGACCTACCTAGTCATCACATAACACACTGACCTACCTGCTAATCTCATAACACACTGACCTACCTAGTCATCACATAACACACTGACCTACCTGCTAATCTCATAACACACTGACGTACTTGCTCATCACGTAACACACTGACCTACTTGCTCATCACATAACACACTGACCTACCTGCTCATCACATAACACACTGACCTACTTGCTCATCACATAACACACTGACCTACTTGCTCATCACATAACACACTGACCTTCCAACTCATCACATCACACACTGACCTACCTGCTCATCACATAACACACTGACCTACCTGCTAATCTCATAACACACTGACCTACTTGCTCATCACATAACACACTGACCTACCTGCTCATCACATAACACACTGACCTACCTGCTCATCACATAACACACTGACCTACCTGCTCATCACATAACACACTGACCTACCTGCTCATCACATAACACACTGACCTACCTGCTCATCACATAACACACTGACCTACCTGCTCATCACATAACACACTGACCTACCTGCTCATCACATAACACACTGACCTACCTGCTCATCACATAACACACTGACCTACCTGCTCATCACATAACACACTGACCTACTTGCTCATCACATAACACACTGACCTACCTGCTAATCTCATAACACACTGACCTACCTGCTCATCACATAACACACTGACCTACCTGCTAATCTCATAACACACTGACGTACTTGCTCATCACATAACACACTGACCTACTTGCTCATCACATAACACACTGACCTACCTGCTAATCTCATAACACACTGACCTACCTAGCCATCACATAACACACTGACCTACCTGCTAATCTCATAACACACTGACGTACTTGGTCATCACATAACACACTGACCTACTTGCTCATCACATAACACACTGACCTACCTGCTAATCTCATAACACACTGACCTACTTGCTCATCACATAACACACTGACCTACCTGCTAATCTCATAACACACTGACCTACCTAGTCATAACATAACACACTGACCTACTTGCTCATCACATAACACACTGACCTTCCTACTCATCACATCACACACTGCCCTACCTGCTCATCACATAACACACTGACCTACCTGCAAATGTCATAACACACTGACCTACTTGCTCATCACATAACACACTGACCTACTTGCTCATCACATAACACACTGACCTACCTGCTAATCTCATAACACACTGACCTACCTAGTCATAACATAACACTAACCTACTTGCTCATCACTTAACACACTGACCTTCCTACTCATCACATCACACACTGCCCTACCTGCTCATCACATAACACACTGACCTACCTGCAAATCTCATAACATACTGACCTACTTGCTCATCACATAACACACTGACCTACTTGCTCATCACATAACACACTGACCTACCTGCTCATCACATAACACACTGACCTACCTGCTCATCACATAACACTGACCTACCTGCTCATCACATAACACACTGACCTACCTGCTCATCACATAACACACTGACCTACCTGCTCATCACATAACACACTGACCTACCTGCTCATCACATAACACTGACCTACCTGCTCATCACATAACACACTGACCTACCTGCTCATCACATAACACTGACCTACCTGCTCATCACATAACACACTGACCTACTTGCTCATCACATAACACACTGACCTTCCTACTCATCACATCACACACTGACCTACCTGCTCATCACATAACACACTGACCTACCTGCTAATTTCATAACACACTGACCTACCTGCTAATCTCATAACACACTGACCTACCTAGTCATCACATAACACACTGACCTACCTAGTCATCACATAACACACTGACCTACCTAGTCATCACATAACACACTAACATAGGCATGCGTCTCCTACTCCCCCAGATCCCACTCCCTACTGCCCAACAGCACTGAGGGAGATGGCGGAGCTTCACTACACCTACCTGAATATCGACTACAATCAAACTGTGATAAAAGATTGGAGGTCCCAAGGCTGCTTTAACAAGGTCAGTCGCTGCGGGCTGGGAGGCGAAGGTAAGTGGTGGTGACCGTGGGGGGGGGGGGGAGGTGTGTGATGGTGGTGACCGTGGGGGGAGGTGTGTGGTGGTGACCGTGGGGGGAGGTGTGTGGTGGTGACCGTGGGGGGGAGGTGTGTGGTGGTGACCGTGGGGGGAGGTGTGTGGTGGTGGTGACCGTGGGGGGGAGGTGTGTGGTGGTGGTGACCGTGGGGGGGGAGGTGTGTGGTGGTGACCGTGGGGGGGGGGGGGGGGGTGTGATGGTGGTGACCGTGGGGGGAGGTGTGTGGTGGTGACCGTGGGGGGAGGTGTGTGGTGGTGGTGACCGTGGGGGGAGGTGTGTGATGGTGGTGACCGTAGGGGGGAGGTGTGTGATGGTGACCGTGGGGGGAGAGGTGTGTGGTGGTGTCCGTGGGGGGGAGGTGTGTGGTGGTGACCGTGGGGGGGGAGGTGTGTGATGGTGGTGACCGTGGGGGGGGAGGTGTGTGATGGTGGTGACCGTGGGGGGGGAGGTGTGTGATGGAGGTGACCGTGGGGGGGGAGGTGTGTGATGGTGGTGACCGTGGGGGGAGGTGTGTGGGGGGGAGGTGTGTGGTGGTGGTGGTGACCGTGTGGGGGAGGTGTGTGGTGGTGGTGACCGTGGGGGGGAGGTGTGTGGTGGTGGTGACCGTGGGGGGGAGGTGTGTGGTGGTGGTGACCGTGGGGGGGAGGTGTGTGGTGGTGACCGTGGGGGGGAGGTGTGAGTGGTGGTGACCGTGGGGGGGAGGTGTGTGATGGTGGTGACCGTGGGAGGAGGGGGAGGTGTGTGATGGTGGTGACCGTGGGGGGGAGGTGTGTGGTGGTGGTGACCGTGGGGGGCGGGGGAGGTGTGTGATGGTGGTGACCGTGGGGGGAGGTGTGTGGTGGTGGTGACCGTGGGAGGAGGGGGAGGTGTGTGATGGTGGTGACCGTGGGGGGGAGGTGTGTGATGGTGGTGACCGTGGGGGGAGGTGTGTGGTGGTGACCGTGGGGGGGAGGTGTGTGCTGGTGGTGACCGTGGGGGGAGGTGTGTGATGGTGGTGACCGTAGGGGGGAGGTGTGTGATGGTGGTGACCGTGGGGGGGAGGTGTGTGATGGTGGTGACCGTGGGGGGGGGAGGTGTGTGGTGGTGACCGTGGGGGGGGGAGGTGTGTGGTGGTGACCATGGGGGGAGGTGTGTGGTGGTGGTGACCGTGGGGGATGAGGTGTGTGATGGTGGTGACCGTGGGGGGAGGTGTGTGGTGGTGGTGACCGTGGGGGGGAGGTGTGTGGTGGTGGTGACCGTGGGGGGGAGGTGTGTGGTGGTGGTGGTGACCGTGGGGGGAGGTGTGTGGTAGTGGTGAAAGTGGGGGGGAGGTGTGTGGTGGTGGTGACCGTGGGGGGAGGAGGAGGTGTGTGATGGTGGTGACCGTGGGGGGAAGGTGTGTGGTGGTGACCGTGGGGGGATGTGTGTGGTGTGTTACCTATCGTACGTTACGGCTCGTGACCCTGAAACAGCTAACAACAAAAAGGTCTAGGGTTACTAAAAAACTGCTGTTCACAAGAGCGGGGCACCAGTATAACCCCTTGATAAGTAATGAGCATGTTAATAAAAATCTTCCTTTAGGACTGAAAGAATAGATATAAAATCTTATATAGATATATATTACATAAATCTCAATAGCAAACAGATGATTATTTGGTCACAATATATCACATTAAAAATATCACTGTATCTTCCAGACATTAAATTAATATTATTATATGTATGGCTATGACAGAACAAAAATGTATAACTTAACTCCACCAGATGCTAACTCTCTGGCTCCGGATCAGCTACAGAATAACAATAACGCGGGAGTCAAAAACATTGCCTTGCCCCGCGAACAATTTGCCAAAGTTACAATATTTATTATTTCAACAATGGAGCAATACATTGTGACAAGAGTAATCTTAAATTAACTTAATGAATAATTAATACATATTGATATACAAAAATAAGGTAATTATTTCTTTACATAGTAATTAAAATACGCATACAGAGGGGAATAATGGCATGCTCACCCAGCAACGGACTATCCCACGACAATTTGCCAGATACAGTTCACTCAATTATTATTCACCTCAGTTACCCACATATGATCACATAAATTATAAGTTCCCGTGGGAAAACTGAGCACACAAAGAAATAAAACAATCATTCCCACGATACGTTGGGCCTAACGCCAACACTGTAACATGAAATTACTTCTGCATAGAACATATAAGTATATCAATATACATACTTGTAATTTACACACAATTATAAATGTACATATTAATTTATTTACTTACGTATCTTATAGGGGTACGTAACACTTCCACCTCCAAGAAAAAAAATGCAATGGATTGAAGATCAATGGCATTTTTTTCGAAGTAAAAATGTTAAGTAAAAAGAAACATTTCATTTATGGTACATCAAAACTTCTTGACAAAGCATCAGCAATAACATTTTGCCTGCCTGGAATATGTTTGATTTCTACATTAAATTCCTGCAAAAACAATGACCAGCGCAGAATTCGTTGGTTCTTGACTTTCATCATATTTATAAAGATAAGGGGGTTGTGGTCTGTAAATACTAACACTTTGTTTCCTGACAAGTAATGTTTCCTGACAAGTAAATCTCAAACTTCTTAATTGACAATATAAGACCCAACGCCTCCTTTTCTACCACGGAATGATTCTTCTGAGCTGCATTAAATTTTCTAGAGTAATAATACACAGGATGCTCAATCTTATCTAAACCAACTTGAATAAGCACAGCACCTATTCCAACATCTGACGCATCAATGTGTAATATGAAAGGTTTATCAAATTGGGGACTAGCAAGAACAGGTGATGTGGACAATATGCCCTTTAGGTTCTGAAAAGCATTCTGACAATCTTGTGTCCACTGAAACTTTACTTGCTTGCGTAACAAATTTGTCAAAGGAGCAGCCACTGTGGAAAAATTTCTACAATAACGCCTATAGTATGCACACATACCAATAAACCGTTGGACTCCTTTCTTATTGGTTAACACTGGGTAGTCCACAATGGATTGAATCTTATCTTGTAAGGGAATAATCTTACCTTGCCCTACCTCGTGTCCAAGATAAGTTATTGTACCTCTTGCCCAACTACACTTATTCATATTTATGGTTAACTTTGCGGTTTGCAACACAGTAAACAAGTTCTTAAGGCCTAAGAGATGATCCGCCCAATTCTTACTGTACAAAACAATGTCATCAAGGTAGGCCCTACAATCTGGCACATCCTTGAGTAAGAAATTCATGAGTCTTTGAAAAGTAGCAGGTGCATTTCTCAAACCGAATGGCATGACATTAAATTCATACGCACCATCAGGTGTAACAAAAGCAGTAACCTCCCTAGCATACTCTGTTAATGGGATTTGGTAGTACCCTTTTGACAAATCAAGCTTACTTACATATTCGGCATGTCCTATGGACTCAATACATTCCTCCAACAAGGGTAAAGGAAAAACGTCCACAGTAGTGCGCTTGTTCAGTTTCCTGTAATCCACGCACAATCTCCAGGTTCCATCTGGTTTTGGCACTAACAAACACGGAGAGCTCCAAGTACTTTGACTTGGCCGAATGAAATCATGCAGGAGCAGATATTCCACTTCTGCTTGTATAATTTTCCTCTTTTCGGGATTCACTCGGTACGGATGTTGTCGAATGGGTGTGCTGTCCAGGAGCTGAATGTCGTGTGTGATGAGGTGGGTCTGTGTGGGAACCTCCCCAAACAGAGATGTATGGTTGTCCAGCAGAACCTGGAACTCATCACGTTGCTCCTCCTGTAAATGACATAGCATCTCCCTGCCATTGGAACTGGAACTGAGAAGTTGAATATTAACATCATGTCCCTCATTACAATTATCCTCAGGTGGTGACTCTTCCCGACTAAAACAACCTACTACACCAGGTCCAACATAAGCTTTTAATCTGTTAATGTGCACAGTCATTTGGGGTTCTGAAAGATTAGGGTTAATTAGTTTATAAGTTAGGTCTCCCACCTTTTCCACCACTTGGTAGGGTCCTGCGAACTTATGGGACATGGAAGTCCCCATACGAGGTTTCAACACCAACACCAAATCTCCGACATCAAACGACCTGAGCTTAGCCTTGAACTTCTTGTCATATCTTACTTTCATGGCTTGTTGAGTCCTTCCCAGATGTTCTTTCGCCAACTCACGAGCCCGACACAACTTGTCCTTGACCTCACTCAAGTACAATCCACTCTGATGAACAGAGACATCTCCCAACAACTTTTCTTGTAGCATTTTTAGAGGACCTCTTACTTGGTGACCAAACACAAGTTCAAAAGGTGAACAGCCCAATGACTCTTGTAGCCCTTTTCTAGCAGCAAACAACACAAAGGGAAGATTCTCATCCCAATTACATGGATGAGTTTCTCCGGTTGTCCTCAACATTTGTTTTAAGGTCTGGTGGAAACGTTCAAGCCCACCTTGGCTTTGTGGATGATATGGACTGGATAATTTGTGCCGAATCCCTCGGGATTCGCAAAAAGTTCTGAAAACTTTAGAAACAAAATTTCCCCCATTGTCACTCTGAATAACTCTAGGCATTCCAAACAACGAAAAGAATCTTTCAAGACACTTGATGAGATTATGAGCTTTGGTATTCCGTAGAGCATAAGCTTCAGGAAATCTTGTAGTCATACACATGAGAGTGAACAAAAACATGTTACCCGATTTAGTCTTAGGTAAAGGACCTACACAATCAATTACAACATGAGTAAAAGGTTCATCAGGAACTACAATAGGTTGCAATGGTGCTCTAGGTACAGATTGATTTGGTTTATCAACAATTTGACAGGGTACACAGTTATGACAATATCTGACCACGTCTTTCTTTAACTTAGGCCAGAAAAAATATTTACATATCTTATGGTACATATTGGCGATACCTTGATGACCTCCCATGGAGTCGTCATGTGCAGCCTGCAGGACCTGCCTACGATACTCATTGGGGACAACGAGTTGGGTTCTAATCTCACAATCATCTGAAGAGGGAGTGCCCTTGGGTCTCCACCTTCTCATCAGAAGTCGATCCTTGAAGAAGAAACCCGTCCCTTCCTCCAATGCATCAACACTATCAGGAGCCTCAGAAATACACTTAATTAAACTAGGATCAGTAGTCTGTACAACACTTAAGGGCAATGACTCAGACTCAGCAGCGAGCGGGCGAGAACCTAGTAGCTTGATCTCTTTTCCCGATCGATCAGAATAAAATGGAGTCATAGCTACTTCGGCCTCACTCTCGACAACTGGTTCACTCGAGACAAGCGGGCAAGGTACAGATAGTTCAGCCTCCTCACCTTCACTTTCCTTGTGGTTTAGGTTCGGCGGGGCTTCTACTACGGCCTCACTCTCATTATCCAGTCGAGTCATAAAGGAATCCTCAAAATCCACCTCCCACTCCTTTACTGAAGGGGTCCTGGTCTTGGGAACAGCAACCTCAGTGAAGACAGGATTACTCTCACCTGTTTGTCCCATTGATCTAGTTACAACACAAGCAGGGTAAATAATATCATCATCTGCTTCTGGTTGAGCTAATACATTATTGGGTTTAGTTAACATGATGGGACACTTGGGCCCTACAACCTTTCGGTTGCCAAAATCATTACCTAGAATAATGTCTACCCCAGGAATGGGCAGTTGTTTACTTACACCAACATTACACCATCCTGAAGTATAGTTAGAATCAAGGTTAACTTGCATTAAGGACACCTGTTGCACACTACCTGCAATACCTTGGAGAAGCACAACTTCACCAAGATCTCGGGTGTCAACATCCGCAAGTACATTCTGGGTAATAAGAGACTGTGAAGCTCCAGTATCACGGAGTAATTGAACAGTCTTATGTCTACCATTATTACATAATAAGGTACCTGTGGAAATATATGGTTTAAATTCAGCCATCCAATTGGGACTGACTGTAATACATGAAGAATTAATAGGTTGCAATCCTTTACTCATAATAAGACCAGTTGGCCGTAGTTCAGGATGCAAGCTAAAACATGAAGAAATCACATGTCCCCTTCTCTTACAATGTGTACAATACTTGACAGTGGACACACTGGTAGAACCAACTGCCGGTGTAGAATTAGCATTACTAGGCTTAGATGATCCTGGCAATGGAGTAACAATCTTAGGGTTAGTAAGAGAAGAGTTCACGGGAGTAACTGTCGCACCAGGAGACTTATACTGATAAGGAGTTCTGTGAGCATTATAATTTACTCTACGACTAGGCTTAGGTGAAGTGGCCGTAAATTGGGCCTTAGTCAACAACTCGTGCTCATCAGCGAGCTTTGACAGCTCATAAATATCTGTTACATTCTTTTGTTCTGCCATAAAAGTAGACAACTTGTCTGGGAGACATGACAATACTTCTTCCATGATGAGAAGATTCTTTAGAGCATCAAACTCAGTGACTGAAAGTGACTTTAACCATCTGTTGCAAAAATTCGTCTTCTGACGAGTAAAATCTGCTATTGTCTGATCACTTGCCCTCCTTAGGTTCGGAAACTTCTGCCTGTGTGCCTCTGGATTTAATTGATACGCATTTAAGATGCTT